CCGGGGGGCGGATGAGATTTGTCCTGGGTATCTCAAGGCTATGGATGTTGTAGGGCTGTCATGGTTGACATGTCTCTGCAACATTGTGTGGTCATCGGGGGCAGTTCCTGTGGAGTGGCAGACTGGGGTGGTGGTCCCCATCTTTAAGAAGGGTGACCTGAGGGTGTGTTCCAACTATAGGGGTATTACACTCCTCAGCCTCCCTGGAAAGGTCTACTCCAAGGTACTGGAGAGGAGGGTCCGATCGATAGTTGAATCTCAGATTGAGGAGGAGCAATGTGGTTTTCGTACTGGCCGTGGAACTGTGGACCAGCTCTATACCCTTGCAAGGGTGATGGAGGGGGCATGGGAGTTTGCTCAACCAATCCACATGTGTTTTGTGGATTTGGAGAAGGCTTATGACCGTATCCCCAGCGGCACCCTGTGGGGGACGCTCCAGGCGTATGGGGTGGGTGGACTTTTGTTAAGGGCCATTCAGTCCCTTTACCAGAGGAGCGTGAGTTTTGTCCGCATAGCCGGTAGTAAGTCGGACCTGTTCCCGGTGAGGGTTGGACTCCGCCAGGGCTGCCCTTTGTCACCGGTTCTGTTCATAACCTTTATGGGCAGAATTTCTAGGTGCAGCCATGGTGTGGAGTGTGTCAAGTTTGGTGGCAGGAGAATCTCGTCTCTGCTTTTTGCGGATGATGTGGTCTTCCTAGCTTCATCCAGCTCTGACCTTCAGCTCTTGCTGGGTAGGTTCGCGGCCGAGTGTGAAGCGGCTGGGATGAGGATTAGCTCCTCCAAATCTGAGACCATGGTTCTCGACCGGAAAAGGGTGGCTTGCCAACTCCGGGTCGGGAGAGAGGTCCTACCTCAAATGGAGGAGTTTAAGTATCTCTGGGTCTTGTTCACAAGTGAGGGTAGGAGAGATCGGTAGATTGGCAGGCGGATCGGTTCGGCGTCCGCAGTGATGCGGACGCTGAGCCGATCTGCCATGGTGAAGAGGGAGCTGAGCCAGAAAGCCAGGGTCTCGAATTACCGGTCGGTCTACGTCCCAATCCTCACCTATAGTGAGCTTTGGGTAATGACCGAAAGAACAAGATCGCGAATACAAGCAGCCGAAATGATTTTCCTCCGTAGGGTGGCCGGGCTCAGCCTTAGAGATAGGGTGAGGAGCTCAGACATTTGGGAGGGACTCGGAGTAGAACCACTGCACCTCGACCCAGGACACGTTGGAGAAGTTACATCTCCAATCTGGTCCGGGGTACACCTTGGGGTCCTGCTGGAGGAACTGTTGGAGATGGCTGGGGAGAGGACGGTCTGGAGCTCCCTAGTTGGGATGCTGCCCCCGCGACCCGGACCCGAATAAGTGGAGGAAGATGACGACGAGACGACGACGTTTCCTTCTACGGCAGTCTGTGAGGCCATCTTTTGGTAAGGTCTTCCTCGAACACGGAAACACGGCTTGCTTGCAATGATTTAGGTATGTACTGCCCCCTAACGCCAGGCAAAAAATACACATTGCCACTTTAGACGATGATTCAAGAATGAGTGTACGACAAAGTCAGGCTGCTTGTAGAAGAGTTGCAGACAAACAAGGAATAGAAGAACTGGACTTGACCAGATCACAAGCAATGTATCTATATGGCATTCAGTTATAGTCTGGATTTCACCAGTACATCATGGAACCTGAGTGGTGAGTGCTTTGCTTCTCTTTTTCAACAAGGCTGTTGCTAGCTGAAGCTAACCGCGCAGGTTGTTGCTAACAGAGGCTCAGCTTACTGTGGCTCTGCAGCAGCATTGCTGTGACCAGCGTTTAAATATTGCTGGCGCCGAAGTGGGTTGGAACTTGTAGATGTAGCAGGAGTGGCTAACATGTTACTGCATTTGACCACCCAAGCTGTCTTTATTCAACAACAAGGAAATTGCTGCTTTGCATGCTACTGCCTCTTTAAGATATAAGAACATCAACATATTTGCATATGTAAAATTCAGAAAGAGTTATTTTAAAATCCACATTTATCTGTTGTAGCCTGTAAATTATTGCAGGAGGATACCAACTACGCTAACATCATGAATTTTCCTGCACTTTAACTGGCCTTGAGAATATATGACATCATTGCAACATTACTGGACAGTTGTAAGGTTAGTTGGGTCTGTCTTGGTAGTTCAGTACAAATAAACTTTACGGCAGATACAGATCATGCTTAGCCAATAGTTACTCAGACATCTCCATAGTCTGAGTCACCATAATCACACTTTAACTCATGAAAACAAACCGTTTTAGTCTACATACTAAAACTGAGTCAATTACGGAATAATTTCTTGGAAAATCTAGAAATAATTATTTCTGTGATCACAAAAGTCAGCGATTTTCTAATTTTATGTGACTTTATTAGTGTAAAGGCTGTAAATTTCCCACTGATATTTCTCAGAGCTACTTCACGCCTGGAAGTTGTGCGTCATGTTACAAGCACAGACCTGACTGTTAAAGACCTTCAGCTCAGCGGAAACGCTGGAATATGTTTGAGTTTCACGTGTGGGTTGAGACCACAAGCTGTCTGTCTCGGAATAAACAATGGTACTGCAAGGCCACTGAGACGATTTAATTATCAGTCAATACAAATTACCTTTTCCGTGCTAGAGATTAAGTTTTAGTAATTATTACCTGTCAGTATTTATAGCTTAATTGAACCTTTTTAAACCGTAATGGGAAGCACATTCAATTAATGCAAGAGCCGAGTGGAAAAGAGAGATTTAAATCAGCAAAGCATAAGTTAAATTTGAACACATAATGTTCTAGTTAATTCTGGTATCTCAGTAATGTCTCCGAGTCTTGTCATTACCTCTGCACACAAAGTGGCTCTTTCAAGCTAACTACAATTTTCTGCAAAGCCCTGTGCTCATGGAGACCGCACAGATTTATTCAATAAAAGCTGAAAATACCTATCAAATCCTGTTTTATCACCTAGTAAAAACAAATATTTTAAAGTGATTTTCTTTTACTGACTTTTACCAAATGCTGGCCAATGCACTGCAAAACTCTAACCCTCATCAATATGCAGGAATAGAGTGAAGAGACACTCTGTGGCTAAAACTTCCATTCAAATGTTCAAACATACTTCTACCTACTCGGTATTACAAGGCCAGAACTGGGACAGGCTCATCTCTCTTCTCATATCTTCTCCAAAAACTTAACCCTAATGCTCTCTCCCTCTCTCACACTCACACTAATACACACACACACCTAAGGCTCCCAGCTCTGAGTTCAACGTACCATGAAAAAAGGAACAACTTCAGCAATAACAGTAATTTTAACCACACAGTCATTACAACAATGCACGCTGGACAAAGAACGCGCTCCAGGACTATCTAAACTACAAAAATAAGATTGCAAATACTTAAAACTGCCTTCTATCTGGACACATGTATAGAGACAATTACGTGGCCAATAACTGTGGAAGAACAGCAACAAAAAAGCCAGCTCTAAAGTGTGCAAGTATCTTATTTTATCAGGAAAGTCATTATCTGCTGTTGTAAAATAGCTCCTCTGAAATTTTATGTGCAAGCTGCGTTAACAAATCCTGAACAAAGCTCTAGTTAACTTTAAAAGACTTTAGACAACAAAAAAGAACATTGTTTAAATTCGCAGCTATTAAGCTAAAATTTGATGTGTTACACGAGTCATTTACAACTGCATAAGCTTACTGATGAAAGTAAATCTTTGTTGCAAATGCATTCTTTTTAACCCAAACCCTAACTTAGTCTGTCACCAAAATAGCTTAAGAACCATTTAAAATGTAATGAAACACAAACAAATGATTGGCTGTACATCTACAACTGACTGCATTTTGGGGTCAACTGCTTGCAAGATGGCCACCACAACTAATCAATAGCAAGAATGAGACTATACATCTGTAGAGTTTGCAGGTATTGAGTTGCACCATAAAGTGGTTTTAGCAACATTTTTGCAATGGATCGTCTACAATTATGTGAGCTTGAGATGAACATTGTTCAAATTGGACCAAATGACCTTTTTCTGTGTCTTCCTCCGCTTATCCGGGTCCGGGTCGCGGGGGCAGCATCCCAACTAGGGAGCTCCAGACTGTCTTCTCCCCAGCCATCTCCACCAGTTCCTCCGGCAGGACCCCAAAGCATTCTCGGACCAGATTGGAGATGTAACCTCTCCAACGTGTCCTGGGTCGACCCGGGGGTCGACCCGGGGGCCTCCTGCCGGCAGGACATGCCCGAAACACCTCCCCAGGGAGGCGTCCAGGAGGCATCCTGACCAGATGCCCAAACCACTTCTACTGGCTCTTTTCGATCCGGAGGAGCAGCGGTTCTACTCCGAGTCCCTCCCGAATGTCCGAGCTCCTCACCCTATCTCTAAGGCTGAGCCCGGCCACCCTACGGAGGAAACTAATTTCGGCTGCTTGTATCCGCAATCTCATTCTTTCAGTCATTACCCAAAGCTCATGACCATAGGTGAGGATTGTGCCGTAGATCGACCGGTAAATCGAGAGCCTGGCTTTCTGGCTCAGCTCCCTCTTCACCATGACAGATCGGCTCAGCGTCCGCATCACTGCAGACGCTGAACCACTCCGCCTGTCGATCTCCCGATCCCTCCTACCCTCACTCGTGAACAAGACCCCGAGATACTTAAACTCCTCCACTGGAGGTAGGACCTCTCCCCCGACCCGGGGTTGGCAAGCCACCCTTTTCCGTTTTTTTTATTATCATCATATAATTATTTAGTTTGAAACTATGGTATAAAAGGAGGTGGCAGGCCTTTCTTCAACTAATACTACCTTTAGTTTGGTATGTTATGTAAATGTTTTAGCTTTTCAAGTTTAGGTTTACTTATATGAACACAGCTTTTTTCACATGATTCAATCATATATCGATGTCTTTTGCCTCTAGTCTTAGAAAGAGTGTCACCATTGCAAATCTTACTTTTTGTTAGTACACCAAAGAAATGTATTTAAATAAGATACAGCCAATGTGTAATGTGTCAGAATTACCTGCACATCCACAAGGGTGGCATTAGCCAAGCTCTCATTAATGAAGACGTGAACCAGAGCTGTAGCACAGAGTGAAGGGATGCCGCTGTCATTGACTCGGACAACTAGGCGATGCAGACCTTTGTGGCGCCGCTCCAGAGGCTCTGCCAGGGTGATAACTCCATTTGTGTGTCCAATTTCAAACAGTCTGAAGGGATTTCCTCCTACTAAAGCATAGCGGAGGTCAGCATTTGGACCTGTGTCTGAGTCGATGGCCGTTACGGTCCTAACGATGGTGCGAGCGCTGCTGGCAGGTGGTAGAAGGGTGTAGGACTCGTTGGCAGGGGAGGTGATAGAGGGCGCATTGTCATTTTCATCTGTCACAAAAAGTGAAACTGTGGCTGTGGCAGTTTTGCGGGGCTCACCTCCATCTACAGCTCGCACACGGAAAGTGTAGGTGGAAAGCTTTTCACGGTCAAATGACGCAGAGGAGAAAATAGTTCCAGTGTTGTTTTCGATGGAGAATACCTCTTCTCGTTCTTTTTCAGCGTCTTCTCCATCCACTCCTGCTGCTTTTGTTTCAGCTCCATTCACTTCTACAAACAAGCTAAGCTCTGCATTCTCACCTTCATCAGCATCGGTCACTGTGACCATCCCAACTGGACTGTTGGCGAGAAGGTTCTCCTTGACGTAGAATGTGAAGATTTCCTGAACGAACTTTGGTGCATTGTCATTGCGGTCAGTCACCTGGACAACAACAGTCGAAGAACCTTGCAGAGGGGGTGCACCTTTGTCCTTTGCAATAACTCGCAGTTCATATCTTTCTTGAAGTTCTCGGTCCAGAACCCCGGTAGCACGGATGTCCCCATTGTCTGCATCGATGTAAAACGGTCCGTTAGAAGTTGGATCCAGGGAATATGCTATTTCAGCATTCTTCCCACTGTCTGCATCTGTTGCTACTACAGTGACTACCCTTTCACCAGGTGAGTTGTTCTCAGCAAAGTGGACCTCCACAATGTTCTGAGCAAAGGTTGGAGCATGGTCATTAATGTCTACTACTCGCACCATCAAAGAGCTGTTACTGGATAAACTGGGGCTGCCAGAATCTACTGCCACAATGGTCACACTGTACTCTTTTGTTGCCTCGTAGTCCAGCAAGGCTGAAGTGTGCAGGAAGTATTTTTTCTTGTTCCTGTGGAAACAAGCAAAAATATATTTTAAGTGCAGTGCAATATTCACCCTGTCCCCAGATGTAGAGGAAACTAAATCCTGATGATGCCCCTTGAACAAAAAAGCCAGCTTTTAATCTCTCAGGAGTTTGTGTTTGCTGGAATTCACCCATGAGAAAATGTTGGGACACATTTACAACATTTTGTTTCACAAAGCCAAGAATGACATCCTCAAATACTCAAAAACATTATTCTTTAAATACCCCGCCCATGCATTAGTGATCCTAATTTAAAAGCTGGGACCAGAGTTTTTGAGTTGATTGACCGAAATTACTAAATTTACTGTCAGTCAGCCACTGGACTAATAAACAAATGATTTTCTCTCCAATATGCTTTACTTTATTACACATTAGATTTTATTTTTAGATCTTTATGCATCCTCTGCATTGACAATGAGTGCAGAAAAACTGTGACTGTGACATTTTAATCAAATTAACTTATTGATTTGCCAAAGCCCTTTCATGATTACAGCTCCAATGAATTCCTTTAGTCAAGGAAAGCCCTCCATTCATGATAACAACCAGTCAGTGCACAGGTCACACAGTGTATGTGAAGGTTGATGTGTTTTAAAAAGGGCCTTGACCAGTTCCTCCATTCCCCAGAATTCAACAGCCTCGGGCAATGTTCTTAAAAAGACTGAAGAGCATTTACATTTGGAGTGTGTGAAGCTGAATTTACATTTAAAAATGTAAAACCGTCACCTACATCTCTAGCCTTAAAGTTTACAGATTATATGACAGCCTGACTACTCTAGCATCAGTCGTTTAGTGACGCCGCTTGAACTAAGCTTAAAATACATTTCAACACATCAACATATTTCTTAATATTCCTAGTCTGGCAAAATAAAATGCATTTATGAAGGCTGCTCCTGGTAAACAACTGGCATATCTAATAAGGACTAATAGGCCATGCATGTTAAAATGAACCAAAACATGGATGTAAAGCCAAAAGATGAGTCCAGACTTTTATTCATTAGATTGATTATTTCAAAAAGTAGTTTGCTGCAGAAAAAAAAGGTGGATAAGCTACTAGAACAAACAGCTCAGCAAAATGTAAATGAAACAGTCTTAGTACTGTGGTAATGTTAATTTATTTAGATGCTAAAAAACAAATGAGGTGCTCAGTGGTGCATACACTATTGCTTAAGCTGTCTTCCAGGTAACGCTTTGTCCACCCTCAGGTAAGGAAGGTGTGCTTGTGAATTTTAATTGAAAATGCATCATCTTTTCTCAGTTGACTAACATTACTTACTGGTTTAAGTGCCCCTAGGCCAAAATACAAAAGCTGATATCAGCAGGTTTCATCTAAAGCAGTGATGCTGAAGCTGTTGATTTAGTGTGGTGAAGTAAACAGTACCACTCTTTAGTCCATTCACTGGTGTTACTTACTGAGACAGGATACCTTTGGATAAGGCTTACCTGTCGAACGCTTCATCTGCAGGCAGGGGTGGGAGTGCTGTTTCACCAGCTGGCTTCAGGGTAAATGGAACATCTCCAACAACCGTGCATGTCACAGCCCCGTTCTCCCCCTGGTCTCGGTCTGATACCTGAACTAGGGCAACAGGTGTGTCCACCAGAACATTCTCTGGCACCAACGCTGCTCCGTCCCGGACGAGGATGCGTCCGATCTTTCTGATTTCTACCACCGGGACGTTGTCATTCTCGTCACGGACACCCAGAACCACCGTGGTGCGGTTGGTACGGGGAGGCTGACCCCGGTCCCTGGCCATTACGGTGAATTTCAGCTGGGCCACTTCTTCTCTGTCAATCCTGTGGAGAACACTCAACCAACCAGTGGCCTCATCAAGACGTAGGAGACGTCTGACGTTTTCAGTGGCTGCTCCAAGTACATACTCCACCTGCCCATTGACCCCAATGTCCCGATCTGCAGCCCTAACCTGAAGGACAGGTGTACCTGGAGGGGCATTTTCTGTCATTTCAGCTTCATATGTGGACCTTTCAAACTGGGGACTGTTGTCATTCACATCAGTGATAGAGACACGGAGTAGGGCTTGGGAGGAACGGGGTGGGTTCCCCCCATCTCGAACTTTGAGCACCAGTTCATATGAGTCTTTTTGCTCACGATCCAGGGTTCCTTTCACAATCAGCTGTGGCTGCTTTTCACCATCTGGTATATCTGCCACTTGCAGCTCAAACACACTGCTCCTAGTTCCTCCTCCATTATCTCCATTCCTACCCCTCCGGTCAAGTCCATCCACCCTGGTAATGGGGTTTCCTCCTGCTGTGCGTCTTGTTGAACTCGCCCCAGCTCCATTATCCTGGATGAGCTCATACCGGTCAATGCCATTTCGTCCAAAGTCCCTGTCTGTGGCTGTGGGCAGCAGGTACAGGGTCCCAATTGGCCGGTTCTCCTCTACTGAGAGCTGCAGAACAGGTGAGGGGAAGGAAGGTGTGTTGTCATTGATGTCCGTTATGACAACTCTGCCTTCAAACAGGTCTACCCAGCTCTGCAGTGGACCTATCACTGACACTTCAAAGTCTAAGAAGCACTCGTTTTCATCAAAGATCATCTGGCACTGCGGGAGCTTCTCTCTGTCGATGCGCCGCGGGCCGGTTGTCAGCTCACCTGTCACGTTGTCAATCTTAAAGAATTCTGAGCCGCTCTCCAGAGCGAAGGTGACGTCCCCGCTGCCCGTGCCCGCGGTGAGCCCCAGGTCCGTGGCCACGTTGCCGATCTTGACATCAGGCGGGCCTTCTTCTGCCACTCGGTACCGGAGAGCTGAGTCGGCACCGGGGAGCTGAGTCAGCAGCTGCAGCAGCACCAGGACCACGAGGCTGAGAGCCTGCGCCGCGGAGGAGTGCACTGCACCAAGCCTCGGCATGGCTCCTTCTGCCTCTCCAAAGCCGCCGTCTGCTTCCCAGCGGTGGCTCCTCTTGTTTCTTGGTGTTTTGTGGTTTGGTGGAGCTCAGCGTGGGTGTTTTGATTTATCCTTCCTCACCTTCTCTCTCTATCGCTCTCTGCGGACTGAGGTCCGGGTAAATGCTTCTCTGCGCTCTCTGTAGTTCACTTCAGCAGCGCAGGATCCTTTCCTTTCATTCTCCTCCCACACTCGGTGGTGGCTTTTCAACTTCTTTTATAATAATAATAAAAAATAAGATATTCCGCAGTCTTGCTTTTCTGTTCAAGCCATAAAGATGTATAAGAAATCCATTCCGCTGCTGGGGGAAAAATAATCAAATTTCACCAGCCCCCTTTGTGATTAATCCATTCCACTCTTCCTTCTCACTTTTCCTCTGGATCAATCAGGGAAGTATCCAATTATCACGCGAGGGGTTTTGTCACTTCACACCACCATCTGTAAGTTCGTTTCATTCCAGTCACATTTGGGAAAGTAGCTGTTTTCACTTCTGCAATGCACCACTACAACACAAAAGAAACGAGAGAAACCAGAGGACAGAAATCAAGCTCAGGTGGTTTAAACGCTGTGCAAATCATTATTATGAAATCAGATTTAAAATCCTATTAAATAGTTGCACCTCCTTACCTTCTAATCCAGCTGCGCTTTGCTGCTTTTTCCCGCAGTGGAGCAACGTGCCAAGCAGTCAGATTCCTTTACGCAAGTTGCGAAGGGACGAGAGAGGCTTTAAAAGCGACTTTCTGCTCAAAAATTCCTCATGAATTTGAATTTTAGAGGCTCTCTCGTTGGGATGCCCGGCATGAGTCAAGTCCGCGCTGGGGATGGATGGATGGCTTTAGCGGAGACGGACGGAGAGTAGATGCGTCTTTTTCCAGGGGTCCCGCATTCAGTCACTCTAGCACCTCCTCTTCTTTCTCCTCCTCCTTCTCTGCTTCTTGTTAATTACTATTTTCTATTTTTCTCTCTCCCCTTCTCACCTGCACTGCTCGGAACTGCTGCTGCTGCCTCAGTCTCTAGCGATGCTGCAGTCTCCCTCTCTCTCCTTCTCTCCCTCTCTCATGCTGCAACATTTCCCCGACCACGTAACTCGATCGCTGAGCTGTAACAGAAGAGGCAGCAGAGACGGTGTTGGGTCGCTCTGCGCGCGCGCGCGCGCGCGTGTGAGGTGCAGACCTCACCCCCTCCTGTCATAGGAAGATTAAATGGCTCGCTGTCCCGGCCGCTGACAGCTCCTGGTGGGAAAATATCTTCATTCACACGTTCATCCAAAGGACAGAAAGGGACGAGAAGAAAAAGAGTGTGTTGTAATGTCAGGAAAAACTGCTTTAGCCACAGTAAAGCCCTTAAATGCGCCTTACACCGGCGTGGTGAAGATAAAGTTATTTTAAGCGCAAGAAATAAAAATACTTTTTTATTATTTCACACCCATTCTTCTTTCTTAGAAAACAAATCAAATCATTTGTATTCAGATGCAGTTTCTTTGTCAGCAGCAGCAGCAGCATCCACACACCTCCTACACACTGCTGAGTGGATGCTGTCCCTCGGAGGACCGACCTGCTCGGCAGGAGCGCATTGCAGCATCGGGCTGCTGTTATTGAACACTACCTGTGTTTCCACGCTGGCGCGCTGTTAAACCTCCCCCTCCCACCTCTGATTATCTAGTTTTCAAGCTAGTCAGGCCGAAGTAGAAACTGCCAAGCAAGAGGGAAGGGAGTTCCCCCTCTCTAACATAATGGTATTGACGGAGAGCAGCTCGCTCCGTGCGCGCGCCCAGTCGTCAGAAGGCTGAGGGAGAGTAAACACAGACTGACAAACTGCTGCAGGAGGCCACAGATTTCCGTTTCCCTCTTCCATCTCCTGCAGGATTTTCATCTCCTTCTTTCTTTTCCTGTGTTTCTCTGCTGTTCCAAGAGAGCAACATGAGAAAGAGTGGGTTTAAGTGTTTCTGTGCTAAAGTAGGTCTACTTAACATTTCAGAGGCAGCCTGCCTACACTCCCTATCAGCCTTGCTGTGATCACTGAAATCTTTGGATTTAGGAAATGGCCAACCTCCCAATTTCTCTGAATTCTGATCAGTTTGGGACAAATTATTTGACTCGGAGGCTCTTTTAACCCTTTGATGCATGAATTATGAAATCTTCAACCATGATTTTTTTAAACAATTTGTTTCATTCATCTTTAGGTTTGAATGAAACAAATTTCAACAAACATTTTTTGTAACATTTTGTTAATTTACAAATAATTTATTACATGTCCATCTCAGTGGACAGCGTGCATTCTGAACATGAAATATGTTGGCTTGACTTGCTGAAGCTCAAACAGAGGGGCTCACATGCAATAAAGTCTTCAACAGCTGTGCTTAATAGCAAAAATAAATAAATAACAATTTTGAGTACCTGTCCACTGTAGTGACCATTATGCATCAAAGGGTTAAGAGACCCATGTGCCACAGCTTATTACCATATTGACTAATCAGCCAATCACCAACTCAACATTTAGTCATAACAACAGGACAAAGTTCAAATCTAGCATCAGAATGGAGGGAAAGGGAGCTTTAAGTGACTTTGACCATGACATTGGCTGTTGCTGACAGACGGGCTGGTCTGAGTACGTCTACTTGGATTTTGACCCAGAACCATCTCTAGGGTTTACAGAGGTCCATACCATACCATACCATACCATACCATACCATACCATACCATACCATACCATACCATACCATACCAGTTTATTTGTAGAGCGCTTTCAACACGGTATTACAATCGACCAATGCGCTGCACATAAAAACAAATAAATAAAAAACACAAGCTAAAATAGTCGTGTATATCATATGAAGTAAAACAGATAAAAGAGTTAAAATAACAACAAACTTGTCATGGTCTGCGTCTGCCCCTTCCTTCATGTGCCTCCTGGTGTTTCTCCATCCTCTCTAGATTCCCTTCTGTGTCCTAGCGCCCTCATGTGTCATGTCTGCGTCTTCCTCATGTGTCTTCTGGTTTTCCCCATTTGCCCCTAGATCTCCAGCCCTCTAGGTTTCTCACATCATTTCCTTTAGTTACAGCCTTTCATGATTTAGCATGTTTTTTCCCATCAGTGTTTATTATTTTTCTCCCCCCTCCCTTTGAATTGTAGTTATGTTTCCTGCTCTTTTGTATTAGGTTTTATATTCTTAGGTCAAGTTAGTTTCTCCCCTGATTAGTCATTGCCTTCACCTGGTCCTCCTCCCACACCCCACACACCTGCAGCTCATCTCCCTCTCATCCTCCCTGTGGATTTAAGCCCTGTCTTGTCTCAGGCCTAGTCCACACGTTGCCGGGTTTTTTAAAAACGAATATCCACCCCTCCAAAAACTTGCATCCACACCACCTCGTTTAAAAAATAAAACTCTGTCCACACGTACCCGGATAAATACGTTGTTAAGGACATGCCAGACCTGTAGGCGGCAGTACTTCCCCCGTTCTTAACCTCGTCCTTCGTCTGTGGTCTTCCGCAAGGAGCAGTAATTCCGCTTGCAAAAACAAACAAGCTAAAGCGCTTGGACAATTGATAAAGCGAGCGCAGCTCTGAGGGCATCCATGCTGTCGGCTAGTGTAAACACAGGTCGCACACGTGATGTCAGCATTTGTTTGTCGCGGAAAGTGACGTTGTAGACCTTAAAACTCCGGTTTTGTCTGTCCACACGCAGACACCCAAAACGGAGAAAACGCAGATCTTCACTTTGGCCGGAGTTTTTAAAAAGATCCGTTTTTGTGTAAAAAAACTCCGTTTTCGTGTGGATGACAGGCCAAACGTAGAAACATATCTACGTTTTGGCAGATCCCCGGCTACGTGTGGACAGGGCCTCAGTGTCTTGTCGGTCCATTGCTGTTTGTTGTAATTCTGTCAAATCTTCTCGTGCCTCTTGTATTTTTGGATCCCCAGATCTCTATCTGGACTTTTGGACTGTTGGCTCCCAGCCTTTTGGATTACTTTGGTTTTTTTAGTTACTCATAAGGATTTTACTTTACATCTTCCCCTGCCTCGTGTCACCCTGGGTACTGCATTTTGGGTCCTACCAGCACCGCGCCGTGACACAACTAAAACCAATAGAACAAGTAAAACCAGAATGCAAAAACACAAATTTAAATTCAAACAAACAAGGTGGAAAACCAAGGATGAGTTAATGCTTTGTGGTTTGGGAGTTGAAGGCCAGGGAGAAGTAATGGGTTTTCAGGTGTGATTTAAAAACAGCAACAGAGGGTGCTCGTCTAACCTGAAGAGGAAATGAGTTCCAGAATTTTGGGGGCACAGACAGAAAAAGCCGTTTCCCCGCGGGTCTTCAAACGTGCCTCAGGTCTGAAGAAGAGAGTTCTTTCAGTGAGCAGCAGCTGTGTGGATAGACTGCTTTTGTTCTTGATGTCAAAGGTCAGAGGAGAATGACTCCCATCTCTGAATAACAACACGTTGAAACCCGAAGCAGATGAACTCCGGCAGAAGAAGACCACGGCGAGTGTCACTTCTGTCAACTATGAGAACCGGAAACCGAGGCAATAATTCACACAGGACCACCAGCACTGGGCCATAAGAGACGGGAAAAACAACTCCTGGTCTTTGAGTCTCGATGTCAGCTGCAACATTCATGCTGTTGGGTCAACAACACAAGCGCATCCATCCATCCTGTTCTGTATCAACAGCTCAGAGAGCAGCAACCAGTGGTGTGATGGGGTTGGAGGAATTTATTGGCCTACTTTAGGCTCATTAGTACCAACTGGGCCTGGTTTGAACACCACAGCCTACATGAGTATTATGCCCATCCTCTTATGGTCACAGTCTTCTGATGGCTACTTTCAGCAGTATAATGTCACAAAACTCAAATAACATCAAACTAGTATCTTGAACATGAACTTTTAGTCCAGAACATGTGTGGTGTTTTACGTTTTAACACCTTTATTTGGTCCAGCTGTCACGGCCCATCACCAGAAGGGGTCCAGCTAAATCACCGTTCCTTGGTTCTTTTGGATCTCATGGTTCTGTTGGAGTTAACACAATTTTACCAAAAGGAGATTTAAATAATGACCATAATTTAGAAGCTTCAGTTAATCTGGTTTTATACATCAATCAGGAAGACAAATGGGACCAGTTACAAGCCTGGACCCTCCTCTGTTTCATCTTCAAGATGAACCCTGGAAAAGAGCCCAGCATCTCTTTTCCTCCGCTTTTGTAACCTGACCTTTCCTTCCTGGGAATCACGCCCCGCCTCACATGGGTCAGTAAGAAAACTGGAAGGGCCCTGACAAAGGTTCAGGTCATATACCCTGACTGGATCAGCTCATGTTTGGGCTAGTCTAAGTATGCAGATGGCAAACGGACAAAACAATTCTGACATTATCTCAGCTCTGCTTCTTCAAGGGGGAACAGACCATCCTACGGGAAAGAGAAAATCTCAAAGGCCAACGTTCTCAGAAGCCATCTAAAAGGTTAAAACGAGATTCACATCATGGATGCCTCTTAACAGCTGAGTGATCTTTCCAACATTTTGCTGGATCTACATCATAAAGTGCTATGGAAATTCTGACCATGAAGGAGACCCAACCTGGTACCAGCAAGGTGTATTTAATAAAGTGGCCCATGAGTGTACATGTCTTTATTTAATAGAAAATGCATTCAACCATCAAAATGTCACAGAAATAACTCGGTTTGCAAAGAAAATCAGATTATCTGTAGAATCGACACAATTACTGCGTTCTGGCGTGCTCCCATTGGGCAAGCATCTCTCAGCGAGAAGACTAATGGTACCAGGGTGGGTCCAACAGGAAAACCTGGATACCAGGGTGGGTCCAACAGGAAAACCTGGATACCAGGGTGAGTCCAACAGGAAATCCTGGATACCAGGGTGAGTCCAACAGGAAATCCTGGATACAAGTGTAACTTGTACCTGCAATGGGAAAAGGGCAGGAAGACATACACATATATGGTTAGTTGTGGTGATTAGGTCGGATTACATAAACCTTGTCATGTTTCTTGTCTACGCTTTCATTTTCTATAACTGTATGATTTTAGCTCCAGGTTGTAGGGAGCTGGTTTCTACCTACAGCAGGTACTGGGAAGAGGTCTGAACAGGTAGAATCATGGGTCTTCTGTTATAAA